CGGCTTTTTTTTTTTTGGCTGCTTGGGGTGGCCAAAACCCTGGAGCCGGCTGTGTCTGCAGAACAAGTTAATATGGTTCTGAATAGCACTGGGTTACTCTACACACCCTCTTAACTACAGAGATGTCAGAGGAGCACAGCTGACTGACTGGAAGACCAATGTCAGCATAGCAACAGAGCCAGCCTTGTTTGCCTGTGTGGTAGAGAAAGCCAAAGCAGTGCAGAGTCAATGTTACTAGGGGTAAGGCCTACAATCCATGGGATGTTCTAATGGATTCATTGCTGATGCATATTTGGCAGGCCAAGTAGGGCGTGGGTTCCAAGTAGGGGATATGCATGGGGGCAATGTAACTGGGACAAAATAGTGATTCTCTAATAAGGTGGGAATTCTCCATCAGGACCTCATCAGGGCTGGCCTGTGCTTGACTCTTCTGCAGTTGGCAGCTGTCTGGTGTACATATCAGGAAGATGCTGCACAACTGTAGCCTTTCCTAACATTCAAATTCTTCCTCTTGCATACCTCTATGAAGATGGGAAATATGGCTCTTTGTTTACTCATCATTAAATAGTTAATTTTGCAGCTACATCTAAGCTATTCTTTCTTGTTGAAGGGTTCACATGTTTTCATATTTTCATATTACCTTTTCAATGGGAGAATGATTGGTTGGTTTGTACAATGACTGCCCACCTCTTCTGGTATATAGAAAGAGAAGAAGCTCAATTGAGGGAGATCTGGGAATTGCTGTAATTAACCAGAACAGATGTAGCATTCCCAGAGAGAGAACCTTGATGAGTGGAAAGATAATAATCTGTTGAATGTGGAGTCCTTCTTGTAGGTATAAATTGCCTATTTGTTCATAGAAATCTAAGGAATGAATACACTTTTTGCCTAAATAGAATATATGCTAATTAAAGTCTAAGTGATTATTTTCAGAGTGGTAAGTAATTATTGTAAGTCATGATCTGTCAGCCATCTAGAAGCCTCCTCTTCATAAATTCATTCCCAACATTTCATTTTGCAATGCTGGCTAGTGCTGGTCAAATACCACACACGTTATTTGTGTTCAGGCATGGCAAGTTCATTCCATTATTCATGGGGGTCTCTTTATTCACAAGTGTTCAGACAGCTGCCAATTTATTTACGACTGTTAGCCAATTCCAAGAATTTTACAGATTGCATTATAAATGATCATTCAGCCAAATGTTTGCACTGGATCATCTGCTATTTGCTTTTTGTTTGTTTGCTATTTTCTGTTTGTTGTTCTCTCATTTTTAAAAAGTTTCAGTCCATCAGGAAGCAGAAATACTTGTGACTTAAATGACGAGTACTAACATGCCGCAAACAACAGAATGCAAATAATCCAAGTGAACAGTTCAAAGAGGAAGGCTGGACTTGTATACATGGCACCAGACTGAGGTTTTGGAGATCTGGGTTCTGTTCCTGGCACTGCCACCTAGGGCTGAGCATTAAGAGAAGCCAGTTTGCTGAAGCTGTGAGTGTGCCATGTGCCAACAGATTTATAAGTGAATGTAGAGATCAAGGACAGCATAAAGACACAATAAGACAATAAAACTATATTCTCTATAAAAGGTAGAGAAACTGGAAATCAATAATTTATATTATTTTTATTCAAATGCAAAATTTGAAATGGATTCTTCTGAAGGTTATCCCCCAAAGGAAAGTTAATTCATGCTGTGAGGATGATGAAATGGAGTCTTCTGGTGAAGGAAGTTTCATGCTGGTTTATTCCCCTGCTGGTGTTTGTTTAAATGCAAATTGATCTGTTTCCTGTAATCTCTTCCCCTTGCCATGATGCTGAGTGATTATCTCCTCTCCTTGTTGGCCTCATACTCCTATTTATCTTCTGTGTAAATTGCATTCCCATTGTCTCTTAATGTACCTTCAAAATATCTTCTAGAAACCACATTCCTTTGTCTTGGGTGGGGTAACTTTAGCCCTGCGTGGCAGACACACTTTGATAACATAATGTCGAATATGTTTGTAATTTTGAATTTGTCCTCTGTATGTGATGCAATAATTAAGGCTGCGAGTTTGTCACAGAGGTCACAGAAGTCACGGATTCCGGATTCCTGCACCAGGCGCACCATCCGCTGCTGAGGCAGTCTCGGGCCCCCGCACCTCCACTGCATGACCCCACCAAGCAGCAGAGTTTGGGTGTGGGAGGGGATAGAGGGTTGGGGCACAGGATGGGGTGAGGTGGACTTTGGGCGGCGCTTAGCTGGGAGGCTCCCTGGAACCAGCGACATCCCCCTTGCACAGTTGCTAGGCGGAGGCATGGCCAGGCAGCTCTGTACACTGCTTCTGCCCAGAGCACTTGCTTTGCAGCTCCCATTGGCTGGGAACCACGGAGCCTGCAGGTGGAGGCAGCACACAGAGCTGCCTGGCCACGCTTCCACCTAGCAACCAAGCAAGGGGGATGTCGCTGCTTCCAAGGAGCCCCCCCCAGGTAAGTGCTGCCCAGAGCCTGCTTCATCTTGTCCCGTGCCCCAACCCCCTGCCCCTCCCACACCCAAACTCTGCTGCTGCTGGGGGGGAGGGGAGGCACGGAGCCAGGTAGGAAGCCTGTTGGCCGCCCCCATGTCCCCTCCCAGCACCAGCCATCCTCCCCAAGCAGCCGGGCCACCCTCCCCCAGCAACCGCAAGGCCCCTGGGCAGTTCCCCCCCCCCCCAAAGTTTTATTCACTGGTATTTTTAGTAAAAGTCATGGACAGGGTCATGGGCAGTGAATTTTTGTTTACTGCCCGTGACCTGTCCATGATTTTTTACTAAAAATATCCATGACCAGGAGCAGCTCCAGGGTTTTTGGCGCCCTAGGCAGGTGTCCTTCCACGCTCCCGGTCGTTGTCGGCAATTCTGTGGCTGGAGGGTCCTTCCGCGCTCCCGGTCTTCAGGGCACTTCGGCGGCAGGTCCCGGAGCGAGTGAAGGACCTGCTGCAGAATTGCCACCGAAGACCCGGAGCGCGGAAGGACCCCCCCGCCGCCGAATTGCTGCCAAGGGTGGCAAAATGCCGCCCCCCCAAATCCTGGTGCCCTAGGCAACCGCCTAGGTCACCTAAATGGAAGCGCCGGCCCTGTCCGTGACTAAAACATAGCCTTAACAATAATATCAATGATCAGTATAGTGTTAGCTTTCTACTGATATCTTCCATGACACCTTCTAGATACAGGTTATGACATTAGTGAGTTGGGATACATTGAATGGGTCGGACCAGCTGAAACGCAATACCAGATAACAGTGAGTCCCTTGCCCTCTTGCACTGGGATGCTGTTAAGGTCACAGTATGCTGCAGCAACAACAACAAAAAATGTGAAATTTACAATGGTATCCCCTCTTTGCTGCAGCAAGGTATTATACTGTGCCATGGTAAGGGTTGACTTTAATGGGCTCCCACTATACAAATTGTTACTTCTTGGTATTGGGTCAAACAATTGGCTCATCACATCCTTACCTATGGCACTAGAAAGTTGAAAGGTAAGTAAATGTGAGAGACGTGGTCTTGAAATCATCTATTAACCTTGCACTACTGAATGTTTAAAAGTTTAAATGAAGGGAGGGCTTGAGAGTTTGCACAATGAAGCCATGGTTAACATTTGCCATATGAATTTCTATTCCTCCCTCCTATCTGAACATCTTGGTTTTCAAGCTCTGTAGCTAGGAAACAGTTATTGTGCTTCAGACCTGAATCCTCATGCCTGAAATGCCAGACTGCTGTTTAAATTCTTAAGTCATGAGACTGAATCTAAGGTAATAGCCCTAACTAACAGCAGCACAATCAGAGAGAGAGAAAATAAGATTCCCCCCACACACACAAAAAAGTGGGTCTTTGATATCCAGAAGTCTTTCCTGGATATCCTAAAGCAAATACAGAAATCTAATGTGCCAGAAATTCATTTTGCATTTTGTTTTTCCTTCCAGAGTTTATATAAAAGCACTGATGTAAATGAAATAACATAATGAGACAGAAGTAATTAATAGACAGACGTATTTATTCAGCTCTCTTGCCCTCAGGTGGTTGTTCCTTTGATGAACACTACAGTAACTGTGGTTATAGCGTGGCACTGGGGACCAATGGATTTACCTGGGAGCAGCTCAACACCTGGGAAAAGCCAACGATGGATCCTGCTGTCCCGACTGGTATGTAGGGAGCATGCAGAACAGGGAAGGCCATTAACAGAGTGTTCGTATTTGGATGGGATTTCCTGTGAGAATTTTTCTACATGTGAGCTCTGTGCTGACTTGTATGGGTTGGAATTCATCCATTTATATGCAACTGGCTTTTGTGTTAAAAGTAACCAAGTAGAGGAATGCATAACAATTAGAAATGGGAAAAAACTGGGGCAACTTGTCAAAACATAGACATTTGGCATTATTTTGTCAGACCATGAATGAAGTGTGTGGGATCCATTTTATTTCAACCCTCACTTGCGGAGAGAGGTGAGTTTCAGAAAAAAAATGGTCCAGGGTTTGGCCAGTCTTTGGACCTGCTCTGGAGAGATGCAAAGTGCTTTTTTTTCCAGGTGAAGCCAGGGGAGATGAAAGTGCAGAGCATGTCACTGGAGGTGCTCAACACCTTGTAGGATCGGTCTCTTCGGGAAGTTCAGGGATGTCAGACTTTCTAATAGCTCATTACACTTAACTTCAGTGCTGTGAACTAGCAATCTGTGGTGTTTGGGTATACAGTATAAAGGTGACAAAGGCTGGTTCCCTGTGAAGAATGAGCGTATTCTAATGGGATAAACTGGACCTGGACCCACCCTGACTAGTCTTGGGTTCCAGGAGACAAATTATGTTCCAGTATTTGAGAATGCCAGCAGAGATGGAGACTAATAACATAAATTAATGATTAATTAGTGGGTACAGACATCCAAGTCCTCTGTTTTCGAGGATATCTAAACTGGAAGTTCTTCTCTGGAAAGTTGTCTGATGCTTCAGCATCACTCCCAGAAGTACTGCTTCCTCTTGGCAGTTAGAATTTGGTAAGCTGGGCTGTCAAATAAGTTCTTTCCCAGGTACTAGTGATTTTGGGTGTTCAACTAGACATTTTTAAAGGTACCTGATTTTCAGGGAGTGTTCTGCAGCCACCTTCTGAAAATCAGCTATGTTAGAGGTGTAACATTTGACACCCAAAATCACTGGTCACATTTGATGATTTTGGTCTCTGATCCATTTTGCCAACACAAGAAGTCGTTGTTTCCACTTACTGCATTGTATTTTGACAAGGTAAGCATGAGAAAAATGGGCAAAACTAATCCAGAATGTTGTCCAATAGGGATTTTTATCCCTGCAGTGATTAGAATGAGGGGGGGCACAGCTCCCACTCCTCTGCGAGAGGAAGAGCAAGGTCCCCAACAGCTTTTTCTTTGGCTGGTACACTCATAGCTCCTCATCCTGTTTCAGGCTACTTCAGTCACTGTTGTTGAGGCCAGTTCTCATCTCTGTACACAGTTATTGCCATTAGAAAGTAAACATGCCACAGCAACCACAATGACTGAGCAATTCCTCCATTGCTTCCAGTTTTCGTTTATGCCCTGGTTGCATCTTGTTTTCAGTTTAGATTGGAAACTGTCTTTTAGTGTCTGTACAGCACTCACCACACCTGATCTGGGCATGCTACTGTAGTACAAATAAATTGTGATACCAGATACAGCAGTTCTCCCATTCTAACTTTAAGGAAATATTGCTTTATTTGGATATGACTGTGCATAATTGTTAGTAAACGTAGTTAGTAACTTTCTCCTGGTAAGCATGCTATGCAATCATGCAAGACCTATTTTCAATCTGGGACACTTAGGCTTTGGCACCCTAAGTGGGACATCTTGTTCTGTACTCATGCTGGAAAAGTTGGGCCAAATATCTCTCTACATATAGACTTACACACATTGGGGTCCTATATAAATCCATTTATAGATAACATAACCCTGAATGGTGCGTGTGTGTCCATGCACACAAACAAACTAAACTCTACTATACCATGATATTTTTAATAGCAGAAGAAAAATTAGTACTATACCACTGTATTTTTTGTTACCTTGATGGTATTTTAGGCCATATCCTAGCTTTACAGCAGGAGATACCACATTGTGCAATCTTTGGTGGCATCCAGAGTCCATGGAAAGAGTGACTTTTACCAGACGGGTACAAGATTTGTTCATCAATAGTACTTTTTATGTCTGCTGTCATGCGATGGCAAGTTGTAGCACCACTCTAGTCCAGCCTGCATCAGCATTTCCGTGATCAATACTGTTTTTATGTACATTCTGTGTCTGGTTTCCCAAACACCAGCAGGCCCCACTGACTTCAGCTGGAGCTGTGAGTGCTCTTCTGAAACAGATGCTTAATCTATTGTGATTTTTATTTCCATGCTGAGACTCTGCTACAAGGGTCTCCATCCAAGGACAACTTTCTGCTCTTTATTCTTTGAATCAAAATGCCCCAAAAGATTCAAACACTCCATCATCTTCGTTAAAAATTTTGGACATTTTATTTTTGATCATTACTAGCATATAATATTGTTTGCCATGAATTCTGTGATAAATTGCCCAGGACTGGAAAAAAAGGGCTAAGTTAATTGGAGAATTAAGATCCCAGATGTCGGTTGTTTTATTAAATAAATGTTATCTTTTAAAAATCTGACAGAGGTAAGTCATGGGTACCCATCCACTGATTTAGGTAGGACTTCTAGTCCACCTCCTTGCATTGTAGCAGGAGAGATTATAACAAAATCTTCCTTAACAGATGGATGTCTAATCAAGCCTTAATATCCCCAGAGAGGGGGATTTTGCTGCCTTTTTGCAACTTGTTCCACTGACTATTTGAGTTGTAAAATTTTTCCTACTTCTTACCCTCAATTTTACATTTTGTGTCTCCATCACATTATTTCTTGTTCTGTTCTTGTTGACTAGTGAGAATAATCAGTTGCTGCCCCCTTTATAACCTCCCTTTATGTACTATAGACAATTAAGCCTTCATTTCTCAGGCTCAATGTGACCCAGTCCTTTAAATCTTTCCTCACATGGTATGTCTTATTTTCCTCCCTATGCCCCCAAGCCTGTTTTCATTGCTCTTGCTTTCCTCTCAGCTCTCTCCAGTGTATGTGATGTCTTTTTGGAGTCATTGCCCAAAACTGAACCCTGCATTTACCAGGCATTGATTCAATACTCCATAGGGGAGCACTGGCAGGACAATGGTTTCAACTCTATTCTACATGAACTGGCCACAGAAAACAAGCCTATTCTATTGCTGCTCCTTCTCTTCCAATGCAGGGTAACATGCAGTCTCTGTCCCCCTCCAACCTCTCTCTCCCTTCTTAAGTACTAGTATTGGACGGTGCTCGAAGAATACAGTCCTTGAGCTTATGAGATGCATGTGTACACCTCTCTGTGTGTGTTTCTTAGAGGCAAACATTTCTGTAGGAAAAGTATCCTACATTATGGTCAGCCAGACAAAAATAAAAGCCTTTTACCAGACTGCAACACTTGCAGCATTCCCCGCACCTTGGACATGTCTGGCCCAGTAGCAGCCGAATCATAATAATAATGATTTAACATTTTGTGGGTTCAAAGCGCTTTACAAGCATTAACTAATTAACTCCAGAGAAAACCTAACCAGGGCTGATTAGAGTGGAGTAATTACTTTAATTGTATTACATACGATTCCACTATGAATACAAAATCAATATGGCATGCACTTTTTGCAGCAGTGTCACATTGTTGACGCCGATTAAGTGTTAGATTTGCTATTACCCCCGGTTCATTCTGTGGATCTATTGCATTCTCCTTAGAGTGATTATGCACATATGCATTCCAGTACTGGTGTGTGTGCACCCAATGCATGAGTCAGAGACTTTTGCCAGAAGTACCACTAGGCGGTATGTGCCCCTGATCTCTTCATGTGCCCATCTGAGGGCATAAATGGGACAAGTCTGCCACCTTCCTCTCAATTCCTTCTCACTGCCTGTTACAAGAGCTGGAGTTCCCCATGGCGTTTGCTTCAATTAGCCAGTGTTTCAAATTTCCCCACCAGGACTAAAAATCAGAGGGATTTATGCCTGAAAGTTCGCCTTCTGAAAGAGGCATTGCATCCCATGTCAGAACTGAGTCCTGACCATGAGGTAGTAGATTCTGAGTCCATGACACGCATTCACCCAACTCCCCACAATTCAAAGTGACGGTTTGATGCTAACAAGCACTTAAAGCCTCGGTCTTCTCCTATAAAGACTTCCAGTAAGCCCTCTGGTACCTTTCCAAGGCACCACAGACAGCATTCACCAGGCCCATCTGAGGTTTCACTGTAGACTCAGGCTCCTTCAGGGCTATCAAGACCAGTGTCTTCATCTTTACTAGGTCCTTCATCATCATTCCAGCCAATCCAGTCTACTTCAGCACCTCCAGATGAACACTTATCTGTTTTGGTGTTCTCCACTCTGTGGGCTTTCTTGCTTGCAAGAGATCTTCTGTGCCTTCCCCTACCAGACTCTCCATTGCTACAATTGACTTTGGTTAGGGGAACTTCAGTGTCTTTGGCACCGCCTGCATGAGCAGCACCTTGACGCACTTGTGTTGCTGGCACCTTTGGCATCATCCGCAGCCAGCAGCGCTCACCTCATTGGCATGCTGACTGCTTCGACCTTTGCTTTCTTTGGATCCCTGGGGGTCTCCCATACCAGATCACCTCAGAACCATAAGGGGACCTCTCCTCCCTTTTCTAAAGAAACTTACATTTCTTCTTTGGACTCTGAAAGGGAGGAATCTGCATCACCTTCATGATCTTTTAAATCCTCTTACAGATCTCGTACCCAGGTTACAGGTCCAAAGGATCAGGAATGATTTTCTAATAAAGAAGCTCCAATATGATGTCCCCCACTGTGGGTGTCTCAGACATTGCAGTATCCCCCATGGCCTTATTGGTCTTGTGTTGCGCCGAGGCTTTCTAGACCTCCATCACAATTTCAGTCTAGGAGGAGGTTTCCCCCTCGGGTTCAGGATTCTGCCATCATTCCTCCACCCTGTGGAGGAAGGAGAAATAATGGAGGAACCCCTAGAGGTTCCCCCCTGTAATTTTATCTTGGCCAAGTGAAGCCGTCACCCCAGAATTGACATCTGCCCTCCAGAGGACTTCAGCGTTTCTCAGGACCT